CTGGGAAGTGCCCTTGTTGAGGTGAGGTCTTTTGCCTACTTCCTGCTGAGTACCTAAAGCATTGCTGTGTGAAAGAGCTTTCTTCTATTATGCAGATGTTCTATATCTGTGTCATCCAACAGAGAAGGCACAAGCCACCACAGATGGCTGTTTAACACTTGAAATGCAGCTAGTCAGCCTGAGAGGGTCTGCACACTACACTTTTACTGGCCTTGGAACGGGGCTAGAGGTTCACCTAGTCAAGTTTGTTGGCCTGCCCTTGTCTCTCAGGGCAGCTATTTGAAGCTGTCTAGAGCACTCTTTACATATATAAACAAATCTGATGACTTTTCAACTTCCAGTTAGAATGTAAACAGGTATTTTTAGGTGCTCAAAAAGCAGGAGGGCTTAAATTTTTAAGAAATGTTTGCTTTGAAATGCACATATTTAAGGTCTCTAACCAGAGAGAAGTGTCAGCTTACCTCTGAAAAGAAGTTGGCCCTTCCTTATGAGAAGCTTATACAGTTTTGGAGGCCATGAGCAAGAAAGAAGGGATAGAATTTTTTGGATAATGGAAACTTCCACCTGAGCTAGATGGGACATTGAGGGATTTACGCTTGGATCCTTATGCCTTGGATGAACAGGCACTTGTGTTGCTCCAGCTCCAACTGCTTGATTCCAGGAGAAAGATGGTTGTGGTTATTCAAAGTACCCTACAGTCTTTGGTTCCACTTGTCTTTGCAGAAAGTAAGAGTAAGAAAATAAGGAAGAAATGGGGAATCTAAGAACTTAATTCAGCTTGTGTGAGAGAGAGAGACTGTCACTGAAGCTGTGGCAATACCCCCTAGAAGTAACTGCAGGGGCTGTTGCCAGTAATTGCCTCAGGGCTCTTAGCCACAGGGCAACTGTGCTCTCAAGCTCCAAAGAAGCCCATGTTAAGGCTGTCCTTCTCCTGGCCAGTCACTAGCAGGTCTAGTCTGCTGAGCAGCCTTCCCTGTGGTAGTATGGGCACTGCTTTCTCAGTGCAAGAACCTGCTTCAGCATCAACTCATCCACACAGGTGAGACACCACTTCTCTGGCTCCAGTGTGGCTGCTGCTTTTGAAAAAGCAGGGCACTGGCCACCCACATAAGGAAGAAGCCCTCTGCATGTCTTGATTATGGGGAGTTTTTTTTTTTAGATTTTATTTTATTTATTTTTAGAGAGGGAAGGGAGGAGAGAGAGACAGAGAGAGAGAGACAGAGAGACAGAGAAACATCAGTGTGGGGTTGCTGGGGGTCATGGCCTGCAACCCAGGCATGTGCCCTGACTGGGAATCGAACCTGCGACACTTTGGTTCACAGCCTGCGCTCAATCCACTGAGCTACGCCAGCCAGGGCTTTGTGGGGAGTTTTTTGCCTTCCCCTCACTGTTAGTCAGACACTGGCAGGTTCACTCTGGTAACTGTCCCCATGTTTGTGGGTCAAGTAGTGTCCACTTTTACCTGTGTGCTTACCTGGTCTAGCACTAGCTGCTCCACAAAAGGGACAAGCCCTACCTGTACCCTGACTGTGGCTGCCACTTCCACCTGAGCAGGGGCATGTATATCCACAGGTGCAGACATATGTGCACAGACAGTGGGTGCCACGCTTTGCATACTCTCCCCTCATGGCCTACCACCAGCTTGTGCACTTGGGTGGGCAATGTGGCAGTTACTTTGCTCACCAGGAAAACTTACTCCAGCACCAGCTCAAGGCTGTAGGTAGTACTTCCACTAGAAGGTCCCTTGGCAGATGCAGACACACACAGGTGAGAAGACTTACCCTTGCCCAGAGTAAGCTATCTGCTTCTCTCCTGCTCAGCAACAGGTACATCCACTCTGACGATAAGCCCTTTCCCTGCACCAAGTGTGGGAAAGCCTTCAAGAGAAAGTATGCCCTGAAAGCTCATCGGTGGATCCATCAGGCAAAGAGGGTGAGGCATAGTGTTGGGGACTTTCTGGGCAGTCCCTATGCCAGGCTCTTGACCTTATGGTTCCCCAGTTCATGCCCACTATTTCTCAGATAAATTGCAGGAGTGTAGATGACCTGGATCAGGCACTGTGAAGGAGTTTATAATGGATGAGATTCCCCCTTATCAAATGTTGGCCATGCAGAGCAAGCAGGGGCAGGAGAGAGAGGAAAAAGATGTACAAAGTAATAGGTCTGTAGGTACCTTGAGGTACCCCATCAGAGAGCAGGATATAGAGGTAATCAGAAATGTGTTAGTGAGTTCCCTCACTCAGAAATGAAACAGGTTAGAACTTGACTTACGTGAATCTGTTAAGAAAGGTGAGACTCCCTAATCTTTCATTGCCTTCCCCTAGGGTGGACACTGTTCACCCAGGTCTGGAGTCTAGTCAGTTTATAAGGTGCAATCTATGTGTACTTTAACTGAAGTTGCATTTTTAGGCACTTTTCCTCACTAAGCATGAAATGAGGAGGAATTAATGTCAAAGCCTTTCACCCGGTTTAGACCTGCCAGTGCAATCCAGAGAACATTCTAGGTTCAAATCTCAGCCCTGCCTTTACTAAGAGGTTTTGGACAAGCTGCTCAACTTTTTGATAATTGTAAATAAAGATAATCATCCTTATAAGGGCTCTGGAAGGTGAATTTCAACTAAGATCACCTATATCACTGCCCACACAGTGGTACCTGGTATTTAGTTGGCCCTGAACACTATTTCTCTTTACCCAGAACAGGGTGCCTTTGGTCTTTATATGGCTTCTTGGTATGTAGACTCCCTGGATCTTCTCCACCCTTTCTGCAGTGGATGGCCTTCCTTCAAAAGGAGCCCTGCTTGTCCCTATGCCCAATGTGGGTCCAGGAATTTATACAGAAAGGAGCAAGGGGCTCTGCTGTTATCAAGTCATGAGTGTTGTTTTTTTTTTTCTTCAAAGTGTTTCCCTGAAGTAAGAAGTTTCTGATTCTACCTGAATTCTAGGCTCTACCTTAGTGGCTCCCATCAAAATGATGGCAAGCCTGGTGTTAAAAAAAAATTCAACTGAGTAAATTTGAAGATCTAATTGGCTTTATTAAGTGATTCATGAATTGGGCAGCATCTCATCTAGCAAGCAGAGTGGTACTCCAAGAAGTTACACAAAATGGAAAGGAGGATGGGGCGAGGATGTTATTAGCAGAAGGAAAACAATGAACCAAAAGTTCATTGGATGAAAACAAGAGTTCACAGTGACAGTGTCTTCTCATTGGCTGAGCTGCACACTTTCCATTGGCTGGGCTGGAAATCTCCCCTCATTCCATACATCTTCCAGTTGGAGATGCAAGGTATATCTCTTCCTGTTTGAGGTAATTGAGGATCAGTGATTGGGCATGACAGCTCCTTGTACAGGCCTTCCCAATTCCAGTTTTAATTGAGGTTTCCTTAATTAATTTTCATACTGGCCAAATGGGTTCTTTAGAGCGTAGGGCCAAAAAGGCTAGGCAAAGGTTGCACCTTTAGTCCAACCTGCCTTCCCAGCACTTTAATACCTCAGTATTTAATGATCTTTCCCGTTCAGTGTCAGCATCTTCTCCTTGTTCAGTTGACAGCACATTATTATTGTTTAGGCAGGGTGTCCACAGAGGAAGTCTGACTCTTCCCAGCCTCCTCTGTGTAGTCACTTTCTTCCTTCAAAATAAAATGTGCTATCCATTTGACTTTTTATTCCCTTAGCAGCTTAAATTCACATTCTTATTTCTCTAAACTGAGCTACATGTAGACAGAAAGAGTGAGCAAAAAGCTATCAGTTCATCCTGCAAGCTTCCAGTTTAGAAGGTCATTTACTTCTCTTGACTTATTTAGAGTTCTCCAAAGTACAGAATGAAGCCCTTTGATATTTGGTACCAACCTACCCTTTCAGTCCTTCAGTTTTACCATATGTGTATCTTGTGCTACATTAGAAAGCAGCATTATTCTCTTCACACTCAGAACTTGCCTGAATTCCTGGCTTTATGCCAGAGAACTGTAACCACCATAGAATTCAGCTATTTATAAAACAAATACATAATGAGCACCACTGCCCACCCCTTTTAGACCAAACTCATTTCTCATGTGATGCATCAGTCTAGAAAGTCATTAAGAGAAAGGATTCTTGATTACTCATTTGGGCAGTCTTGACATTCTATTTGCTCCCCCAGTAGTTTGTTAAATAAAGTCACTATCCTTACAACAGAGGAGAACTAAATGGAAGATTTACTGCAGTTTTTTTCTACTTCCTCTTTTCAAAAATTATACTCAGAATGTCTTACTATGTTATCTTTTTTTTTTAATCCTCACCCAAGGACATTTTTTTCGTGGTGGGGGCGGGGAGAGAGCGAGAGCGAGAGCGAGAGAGCGAGAGAGAGAGAGAGAGAGAGAGAGAAACACTGATGTGAGAGAGAAAAAACATTGATTGGGTGCCTTCTCATATGTACCCTGACTCACAACCTGGGTTATGTGCCCTGACCTAGAATCAAACCTACGACCATTCAGTCTATGGGATCATGCTCTAATCAACTGAGCCACACCTGCCAGGGTCTGCCTATGTTATCATGTGACTTCCTGTCACATTGTCTTTATTCCCTGTAGGCTTTGGGGTAAAGTTTTGCTCAAAGCAGGTACTTTAAAATATTAATGGATTGGAAAGATAAATGTGTATGTTACCAGCTGAGGTAAGAGATGTAGCAAATGGAATAGTCTCCTGTTCCCAGCTCCCGTGGGCAATGACATTAAGTTGGTGAAATTGCATGACAACAGTTACACAGGAGTAGGGACAGACCTATGGGGGTGGCTGCGGGTTACACCCGCAATTTTCCTTTTCTTTACGTCTTTCCCATACATGCTTGTATCATTCTGCTATTATTAGTTGTGAATTATAATAATAATATTACTGTAAACTTCATTATTATAATATTCATTATAATTCATCATAATAATTATAATATTACTGTAATATTACTTCATTACAGTAATATTACTTCATTACAATATTATTAATATTACTGTAAACTTCATTTGGGGCATTTAAAAAAAAAAGCGTGTGTGTAGAGATACGCAGAAGACTGAACCCGAGAAGAGACCAGGTGCGCTCAGGTGGATTCTTGAGTTTCCAAGCAAATTAAGATCCTGGGAGAGAGAAGAGTGCCTAGTTCAGTGGCGTGAATAAAGGGCCTATCAGCCCCACGTTTAAATCTATCCCTCTGCTTTACTAGCAGTAACCCGCTGAGATCTTTCCTCAATAGTGGAACCGGGATGATACCATCACCTCATACAGTGGTGGCTAAGGATAAATAAGATAGAATGTGTAATGTATTGGGTATGGTGCCCAGACAGAGGAAACGTTAATTCCCTTCCCGAAAGGGAAACAAGTACTGAACCCAAAGGCTTCTCAACTTGGGTTGGTAGGAGTGGCTCCCTCGCTCAAGTCTGCCCCTCCTTCTGGTAGGCAGCGCTGGCCGGAGAACTGGGGCGGGTTGCTAACCCCAGGCCACGTCGCGGGTTCCCGCCTCAAAACTTAGTCACACGACACCAAGGGGCCGGCTTCCTGCCCTACGCTTGCGTTGACTTCGTTCAAACAGGCCGCTTTCGTTAACACCCAATCAGAAAGCTCGATCTTCGGCCGCCGCCCAATAAACACGTGGAATGGGAGGAAAAAAGGGCGTGAAGCCCAATCGCAGCGCCATCACAGTTGAGGGCAAAGAGGGTAGGAAGCCGGCATGGCGCTCTGGTCAATAAAATCGATAGCTGGAAGCTGCCTCTGTTTCAGGCAAAGGCAGTGCAGTAGCAGCGCCGCCATTTTCCCCGAAGGCATCTTCCGGTGCCTTTCCCCCAAGTTTGGGCAGGAGTTTCCTGAATAACAGCGAGAGGTTTCCGTTAGCCGTGCAGGCGGTTGATTCCGATTCCCTCCTGACCTGCCCTGGGCGCACTCAAGTCCCAGTCCGGCGGCAGCTCCCAAATCCCGGGGTCCGCCAGGGGCCAAGGCCGGGACGGAGAAGTTCGTGGAGTCTGCTTCTCGGGTCCAATGGCACCGCCTTCGGCTCCGCTTTCCGCAGGGGGAGCAGGAAAGGCCGGACCCGGCCGGAGAAGGGGAAGGAAACCAAGGGCTATGAAGTTCGCGGACGTGGCCGTGTACTTCTCCCCGGAGGAGTGGGAGTGTCTGCGGCCCGCGCAGAGGGCCCTGTACCGGGACGTGATGCGGGAAACCTACGGCCACCTGGGCGTGCTCGGTGAGGCCCGGCCCAGTCTGCTTCCGCGGGGCGAAAGGGTTGGAGGAGCTTGGCGGTTGGGGGGCAGAGTGTCCAGGCTCCTGGCCTGCGACCAGATTTTGTCAGGGGAGGAGGACGGGGGCTTGGCAGAAGATGCACCGGGTAGATATTTATCTAGAGTTACGTATGAGCTAGACCTCTGACTAAGGTTCTTCTCCAGGTTGCGCAGGTCCCAAACCAGCCCTCATCTCCTGGTTGGAACGAAATACCGATGACTGGGAACCAGCCGCCCTGGATCCACAGGAGTGTCCAAGGGGGTTAACAGTCCAAAGAAGTGAGTGAAAAAAATGCCCGTGGAGGGCCTACAGCTTCTGATGACTCAATCCAGACTTATGGTGGCTAGGAGTACCCATGACCCATGTTGCAGGGCTCCATTTGCCGAGTTCGTTCCACAGTTCTAGGGTATTGTTTATGATGGTGTTGGGTCGGCCCACCACACAGAGATTCACATATCAGTTTGCACGCCAATGATCTGCAGTTCTCTATTGTGTGAATGAATCAGTGAGCTTTTAAAACAAACCAGTACTCTCCTGTCTCCTTCCTAGGATTCCCGTCCCCAGCGTCGTCCTTTGAATTGGGTTCTGACTGAGCGACCCTATACCTCTGAGTTTTCTGTGTTTGGATGAAGGGACCTCATGGAGAATACAGCTGCTCGGGGTACAGGGACCTCTTTCTGCCCTTCTGGCAGAACCCTGATCAGTTTAAGACGTACTGCACTCCCCTCAGGATCAAGCAAGGCTCTGGTTAACTCCATTCAGGTAGAAGGGTCCCAGATTCACCACAGGGGCAGATGGAATTGTCTGGGCTGGAGTTTCTATACCAGATTCTCCAAGGCCAGGACTGTCTAAGATTCAGATCTTACCATGGTATTTTCTTGCTTAAAATCATTCAGTTTTTGCCAAAGTGGGTTGTCAAATGGCTGTCAGTTATATCTAGTCACTTGATAAAAATACAGATTCTTGGAACCCATCCCAGAACTAGTTATTTAGTGTTATAGATGTCTAGGAATGTGTGTGTTTTGATAGCCCTAATTGATTTGGATGTATGCTTAGGTTTGAGAACCATTGGGTAAAATATAGTTCAAGGTCCTTACTGCAGTGGTTCTCAGAGTATGGTCCTCAGACAGATAGCAGCATCACTCCTGATCACCTTAGAAATGCAAATTCGTGGGCCCTGCCTCAGACCTGCTGAATCCAAATTGGGGGCAGGGCCCTTCAGTCTGTTTCAGTAAGCCTTCTAAATGATTCTGATTACACTAAAATTTGAGAACCATTGGCTTAGAGGGCCCTATGACTTAGTTGCCAGCTCATAACCTTGTTCCCACTTCTTGCCTTATACTTAACCTCTTCAAACACTTTTTAAAAGATTTTATTTATTTATTTTTAGAGAGAGGGAGGGGAGGGAGAAAGAGAAGGAGAGAAATATCAATGTGTGGCTGCCTCTGGCTCACTCCCCACTGGGGACCCAGCCCACAACCCAGGCAAGTGCCCCTGGCTGGGAATCCAACCGGTGACCCTTTGGTTTACAGGCCAGCACTCAGTCCACTGAGCCATAACAGCCAGGGCAAAACTTTTAATTTTAAAAGCTAAATCTCCAAGAAACCTTTCCCAACTTCTCCAGGCTGGGTTAGGGGCTCCTGTAATTCCCTCCATATTTTCATAGCAGGGTATTAAACTAGTTTGTGTTACTAACACTCCCTGAAGACAGGCTGAGTCTATTTGTCTTATAACCTGTAACTACAATAAGCAAGAGTAGTAGCCCAGTATTTGTTAAATTAATTTCTCCTGTGTCCCTGTAGAAACCAGAACCAGAAAGAAGACTGAAGAGAAGGAAGTATTTCCACCCAAGGAGGCACCACGAAAGGGGAAGAGGGGGCGGAGGCCCAGCAAGCCCCGACTGATTCCCAGACAGACATCTGGGGGTCCCATCTGCCCTGACTGCGGTTGTACCTTCCCTGATCACCTGGCTCTGAAAAGCCACAAGTGTGCCCAGAATCTAAAAAAGCCTTACCCTTGCCCAGACTGTGGGCGCCGCTTTTCTTATCCATCCCTGTTGGTCAGTCACCGGCGGGCACACTCTGGTGAATGTCCCTATGTTTGTGACCAGTGTGGCAAGCGTTTCTCCCAGCGTAAGAATCTCTCCCAGCACCAGGTTATCCACACAGGGGAAAAGCCCTACCATTGCCCTGACTGTGGCCGCTGCTTCCGTAGGAGCCGGTCCTTGGCCAATCACCGGACCACACATACGGGTGAAAAACCCCACCAGTGTTCTAGCTGTGGGCGGCGCTTTGCCTACCCATCCCTGCTAGCCATCCACCAGCGCACACATACGGGAGAGAAGCCCTACACCTGCCTCGAATGCAACCGCCGCTTCCGCCAGCGCACCGCTCTCGTCATCCACCAGCGCATCCACACTGGTGAGAAGCCATACCCATGTCCAGACTGTGAGCGGCGCTTCTCTTCCTCCTCTCGCCTTGTGAGCCACCGGCGAGTACACTCTGGGGAGCGTCCTTATGCCTGCGAACACTGTGAGGCCCGCTTCTCTCAGCGCAGTACGCTGCTCCAGCACCAGCTCTTGCACACAGGAGAGAAGCCCTATCCCTGCCCAGACTGTGGTCGTGCCTTCCGTCGGAGCGGCTCCCTAGCCATACATCGTAGCACGCACACCGAGGAGAAGCTGCACGCGTGTGATGACTGTGGCCGTCGGTTTGCTTACCCCTCACTACTGGCCAGTCACCGGCGTGTTCACTCAGGCGAGCGGCCCTATGCTTGCGACCTGTGCTCTAAGCGTTTCGCCCAGTGGAGCCACCTGGCGCAGCACCAGCTTCTGCACACTGGGGAGAAGCCTTTCCCCTGCCTTGAGTGTGGCCGTTGCTTTCGCCAGAGGTGGTCTCTGGCAGTCCACAAGTGTAGCCCCAGGGTCCAAAACTGTAGGCCTAGATCTGTTATAGAGGGACCCAGTCAGAAGGACAGTGCCCTTTAGAATGGGAAGAACTGTCTTAAGTTCATTTCATTTCATAGGCCCAGAGAAGGGAAGGAGAAGCCCCAGGTCACTGAACTGTCTTAAGTTCATTTCATTTCATAGGCCCAGAGAAGGGAAGGAGAAGCCCAGGGCAGATTGAGTACTATAACTCAGGTATCCTGCACAGACCTGAACTTTAGTATATTCCACCACACTGGCTGCCTTATTCTGTCTAGAACAGACAGTCCCATTAGGAGAGGTGACATCTTTTGCTTCAAGTTTAGCAAGCTACCCTACCTTACAAGAATTTCTATGTGTGGACATCAGGGTAAAAGTTCTCCCCATATATTTTAGGGTCTGCCTGCCTTTCAAACGTGCATGTAGGGAATATCTGTCCCCTTGCATGCAGACAGGAGGCTCCCAGTAGGTGGCAGGATGTTACCCTACTCTGCCTCTTCCTCTATACCAGGTTTAAATAACCTTGTTTAGACCCCTTCTTACAACACTCCTGCCAAGTGGTTTTCTACCCTAACTTTAAAACTCCCTTGGCAGGGAGCTCACTACCTCAAAAGGCAGGTCATTTCATTGTGGGATAGCTGTGATCTTTAGAGCATGGTTAAATGGCACATTCTCCTTCCCTGTAAGCCTTGCCCAGAATATGTTTAATTCTACATGGCAGCCTTTCAGATAACTTAGTCACAACTACTTTGCCCCCATGTTTTCAGCATTAATTTGGTCAATCAGTCCTTAAAGATGGGGTTTCAGTTCCCACATATGATCTCCAATAGGTGCTGGTTTTTTACTATCCCTTTTAAAGGATCATACAAGAATAAGACAGCATACCTTTTTGTTCTATACTTGTTTTAACAGCTCTAGATTGCATTGGATCTGGGAGGAGTGCAGCACTGTACCAGGGGTTTATTGGGTTGCAGACTTCCAAATACCTAAGGTTGGGCCCCCCCCCAAATTCTGATTTTAGAAAAATCAATCAGCTACCTTCTGTATGTGTCCTGAGGACCAAACCTACAACCTGGTGTACAGGACGATGTTCTAACTAACTGAACCACCCAGCCAGGGCCCTAAGGTTTTTTAAACCACATGGTGTGAAGCTAGGTTTTCTGCACCTTGTGTTTGTTCAAGTTGGTTCTAGCACACAAGTGCTGTGAACTTTGGGAAAAGATTGATCTTAAGGAAAAGCAGGGACAGTATGGGCTAGCAGCAAGAAGTGAAAAGAAGACCAGCTTGTACTTTACCTGGTGGATTTGGATTGGTTCTTGGCAGCTAGTGGTTGGAAAACCCTAGGTCTCACTTCAGCCCAGAACCTTCCATGAGCTCTCAGTCAACTTTTTTTTTTCCCCATAAAGTGAGGTGAGGTCATTCAAGGAGGGTAGAAAGTTAGGTGATTACATATGAAGCAGAAAGAGTATACATAGAGTTACTGAGTTGTGTTCATGCCTGCCCCCTCACATAAGCTCCAGAAGTCAGCATTGTGTCTTAATTTTTTATTTGCTTCCATGGCACCCACCCCTGAGTAGGTAGGTGCTCAGTAAAGCTTTACTGAATTGAATGAACAGTTATATCACTTCACCTTGGGTAGCTACACCAAATTGGAATTTCCATGCCTGACTTGTCTCATTCCAACACCTGGAAGGGGTCATCCTACTCCTGTTGCTTCTTTCAGTTCTCCTGATATCAGCCCCAGAGTGGGGGAGCAGCTGGGGAACCCAGCTTTTGTGATTACCTCTGTTCTGGTGTTTAACAAGTTGCATTGTAACACTTTCTCCTTGGATAATGAGCTACCCCAAGGTAGGGGTCAGACCAGACTGGGTCTTATTAAAATATCTGTTGAGTGAATTTGGTTCCTTGTGGAATTACTGTTCATAAAATGTAAATCTAGTTCCATGCTAAGTAGAAATTTTCACAGTTCTGATGGAGACCTGCCCTATGGTAGCAGAGACCTATTAGATGCTTGCCTAGAACCCTGTTTTAGGACTCGCTCTTTTCCCTACTTTTATCACCAAGTTGACCAACTATTTCCTTACTTAGGAATTTATAACTTTCTTTGGGCCTGATTGTAACTCATTAAAACTTGGGAGCTATTGGTGGCCAAGTTCTATTGTGTGGTCTATGGAGGGCAGAGATGGGAGACAACTTCTAGGTTTCAATCCCAGGGTCCATTTGATGAAGAGCTGTATCTTTCAAGTAAATTCCCCCTTCTGCTTCAGGTAGTTTAAGTTGACTTTCTGTTACTTGCAACCAAAAGAATTAACTAATACACAGTTCCAATATGGGTTAATCACCCATCTGCCTTTATGCCTCTATAGTAACTGTGAGGAAAATTTTCTGATCTCTTTTCTGATACCTTTTCTGATCTCCAACCTCAGTTAAACCTTCAGTATCACTTTAAGTCTTCCATATATCTTAAGCCAGTGAGTACCTTCTTCACTAAGAGAACAGGGTATTAAATAGGAACTCCTTCAACATTCCACTCCCCACTCTGACTCCAAATTTGCCAGTGTGGACACTCATACTCACTTGCTTCTACCCTACCTCAAGAAAGCCCATCATATGCAATGCTAATCAACATACCTGTGCTTGTTATTCATCAACTGCCCCCTCAGGGATTTTGCTCCATCTATTATTTTTCTCTCTCCTCTTAGTTTCATGATTATAGAGTCCTCTCTTATGTGGAACACACATACACTCCAGCCTATAAACATGCTAAACAAACTTTAGCATAAACATGCTAAAATCTTTAACAACAATAACTTTCCCTTTGGCCTCTGTCATCTCCCATTTTCAGCTAATTTCTTGAAGCAGTAGCCATTCTGTTTATTTAAATATTTATTTTATTGATTATGCTATTACAATTGTCCCATTTTTTTCCTCCCTTTTATTCCCCTCTGCCCTGAGCTCCCCCTCCCACCTGCATCCCCCACCTCCCTTAGTTCATGTCTATGGCTCATACATATAAATTCTTTGACTTCTCCAATTCCTACACTATTCTTGGCCTCCCCCTGTCTATTTTGTACCTACCAATTACTCTTCTTATTCCCTGTACCTTTTTTCCCATTCCTTCCTCCCCCTCCCAGCTGATAACCCTCCATGTGATCTCCATTTCTGTGATTCTGTTCCTGTTCTAGTTGTTTGCTTAGGTGTTTTTTGTTGTTGTTGTTGTTTTTTGTTCAGTTGATAGTTGAGAGTTTGTTGTCATTTTACTGTTCATATTTTTGATCATCTACTTTTTTTAGATAAATCCCTTTAACATTTCATATAATAATGGCTTGATGATGATGAACTATAACTTGACCTTATCTGGGAAGCACTTTATCTGCCCTTCCATTCTAAATGAAAGCTTTGCTGGATACAGTAATCTTGGATGTAGGTCCTTGCTTTTCATGACTTCAAATACTTCTTTCCAGCCCCTTCTTGCCTGCAAGGTTTCTTTTGAGAGAAATCAGCTGACAGTCTTATGGGAGCTCCTTTGTAGGTAACTTATTTTCTCTTGCTGCTTTTAAGATTCTCTCCTTATCTTTAGTCTTGCATAAATTGATTATGATGTATCTTGGTGTGTTCCTCCTTGGGTCCAACGTCTTTGGGACTGTCTGAGCTTCCTGGACTTCAATTTCCTTTGCCAAATTAGGGAAGTTCTCCATTATTTTTCAAATAAGTTTTCAACTTTTTGATCTTCCTCTTCTTCTGGCATCCTTATGATTCAGATATTGGAACATTTAAAGTTGTCCCAGAGGTTCCTAAGCCTCTCCTCATTTTTTTGAATTGTTGTCTCTTCATTCTGTTCTGGTTGAATGTTTATTTCTCCCTATTGTTCCAAATCGTTGATTTGAGTCCCGGTTTCCTTCCCTTCACTGTTGGTTCCCTGTGCATTTCTCTTCATTTCACTTCACATAGCCTTCACTTTTTCCTCCATTTTGCAATCATACTCAACCATTTCTGTGAACATCCTGATTCCCAGTGTTTTGAACTCTGAATCTAATAGGTGGGCTATCTCATCATGCTTAGTTCTCTTTTTGGAGTTTTGATCTGTTCTTTCATTAGGGCCTTATTTTTTGGTCTTAGCACAGCTATTGTGATGTAAGGGGTGGAAGGTTAAGTATTCCCCAGGGTGGGGCAACCCAGGTTGCTGCGTTGTGGTGCTGTCTGTCAGGGAGAGGTGAGAGAGAAAATACTGCTTGTCAGGCTCTTGACCAGCTTTCAGTCACTTCCTCTGCTATCCACAAGCAAATTGGGCCCTTTTAGTGCTGATCCCTGGGTGGGTGGGTTTGTGGATGTTCCAGGACCCTGTGGGTCTCTCCAATGAACTCTCCTGTGAGGCTGGGAGTTTCTCCTGCCACCACAACCCCCACAGGTTTTTACTGCTAGAGGTTTTGAGGTTTTATTTCCCTGAGTTGGAACCCTGGGTTATGAGGTCTAGTTCACTCCCCAGTTGTTCTTCCCAGTTATCCATACGCAAGTGTGGGACCGCCTGGTCTGCCAGCCACCACCTTGCCCACCCCGGTCCTCCAACTGCCACCTTGCTGTGTGTCCTCTCCACCCCAACTGCCCATCTGTGCCCCTCCTACCAGTCCAAATGAATGTTTTTTCTTAACTCCTTAGTTGTCAGACTTTCATACAATTCAATTTTCTGGCAGTTCTGGTTATTTTATTTTTTAATTTGTTTTTGTCCTTTTGGTTGTGCAAGGAGGCAAACTATATCTACCTACACCTTCATCTTAGCCGGAACCCATTCTGTTTATTCTGTGGCCTACTGTAATAGTATTACAGCCACTTTGTTGAGCATTTATGGTATACCATGTATTGTGTTAAACATTTTATGTACATTCCAATCTAATTTTGACAAGAACCCCATGAAGTAGGTGTTAGGAGATGTTCCTCCATGGGTTTCTCATGTTGCTACCTGTCTTGCTGAGTATGTCAAAAATGCAAGGCCCTGCCTCAAATTCTCAGGCTTTAGCCAATTCCAGATCTTGAGCTCGAATGAATGAGGGGAGGCTGAGTACTATTGGTTAAGGACCATGTTACATTGGCAAAAACATATGCAGTAGATCTTCCTGGCCTTTTCCAAATGTATGTGCAGCCATTCACCAGGGTGGCTAGAACTGATAAATAAATACAACAAAGTAGCAGGATACATATGAATATTCAGAAATCCATTGCATTTTTATATACCAATAATAAACTATCAGAAAAGGAAACTAAGAAAGCTCATTAAGAAGTGCATTAAAAATATATAGGAATAAATTTTACCAAGGAGGTGAGAGACTTGTTTTCAGAAAATTATAAGACATTAAAGAAAGAAATTGAAGAAGTTATGAGTAAAAGGAAGTATATACTCTGCTAATGGATAAGAAGAAATAACATTGTTAGAATGTCATACTACCCAAAGCAATCTACAGATTCAATGCAATACCTACCAAAATACAATAATGAAGTTCAAGAATAGAACAGCCCTGGCTGCTGTGGCTCAGTGATTGCACATCAGCCTTCGAACCAAAACATTGCTGGTTTGATTCCCAGTCAGGGCATGTACCTGGGTGTGGGCCAGGTGCCCCATTGTAGTCCAGGTGCCCTGCTGAGGGTGTGTAAACCAATCAATGTAACTCTCACACATCAATGCTTCTCTCCCTCTCTTTCTCTCTCCCTTTCTTTCTCTCTAAAAATAAGTAAATAAAATGTTTTTGAAATGTTTTAAAAAAAGGACTAGAACAAATAATCCAGAAAATTTATATGGAACCACAAAAGACCCCAAAATAGCCACAGCAATCTCGAGAAAGAAGAACAAATTTGGAGGAATCACACTACCTGATTCAAACTATACTACAAACCCATAGTAATCAAAACAGCATGGTACTGACATAAAAACAAACATATAGATCAATGGAACCGAATACAGAGCCCAGAAATAAACCTATGCCTATATGGCCAAATACTATTTGATAAAGGAGGCAAGAATATACAATGGGGTAAAGACAGTCTCTTAAATAAATAGTGTTGGGAAAATTGGACAGACACATGCAAATCAAACAAACAAAACTAGACCATTTTCTTACACCATATACAAGAATTAACTCAAAATGGATTAAAGACTTAAATGTAAGACTTGAAACAATAAAACTCCTAGAGGAAAACATAGGCAACAAAATCTGACATTTCTCTTAGTGATACTTTTTTCTGATATATCTCCTTGGTCAAGAAAACAAAGGGAAAAAATAAACAAATGGGACTACATCAAACTAAAAGGTTTTTTTTTAAAGATTTTATTTATTTTTATAGACAGAGGGGAAGGGAGGGAGAGAAACATCAATGTGTGGTTGCCTCTCACACACCCTCCTTACTGGGGACCTGGCCCACAACCCAGTCATGTACCCTGACTGGGAATTGAACCAGCAACACTTTGGTTTGCAGGCTGGTGCTCAATCCACTGAGCTACACCAGCCAGGGCCAAACTAAGAAAGTTTTTGCACAGAAAAAGAAACCATCAACAAAATGAAAAGACTACTCACTGAGTGGGAAAACACATTTTCCAGTGATACATCTGATAAGAGGTTAATATCCAAAATTTATAAAGCACTCATATAACTCAACAACAAAAACCAAACAATCCCATTTAAAAATTGGCAAAGGATCTAAATAAACACTTCTCCAAAGAGGACATACAGATGGCCAATAGACATATGGAAAGATGCTCAACATCACTAACTATCAGAGAAATGCAAATTAAAGTCACAATGAGATATCACCTCAGACCTGTCAGAATGACTATCATTAATAAAACAACAAATGTTAGTAAGGGTATGGAGAAAAGGAAATCCCCATGCACTGTTGGTAGGAATGCAGATTGGTGCAGCCACTATGGAAAACAATATGGAGGTTCCTCAAGCAATTAAAAATGGAACAACCTTATGGCCCAGTGATTCAACTTCTGGATATATATCTGAAGAAACCCCAAACACTAATTTGAAAGAATATATAAACCTTTATGTTCATTGCAGCATTATTTACAATAGCCAAACTATGGAAGTGGCCCAAGTGCCCATCAATAGATGAGTGGATAAAAAAGCTGTGGTACATATGTACATTACTTGGCCATTA